TAGGGCAGGGCACAGAATCCAAGCAGACAGGGGTTCATGTTAAGTCTGGGATAAGGAACAACCAAAGCTAGTGCACTTATGGCAGCTGACCTTTTTTCCAGGCCACTCACCCCGAAAACCCCGCCACACAGGAACAGCAGACTAAAGCTTAACCTCTTACTAGAATTTTTTTTAAAGGAAATAGTCTCCAGGGGCATTTGCAGCAAATAGTTTCTTCCTGCACTGGATTTTCAGTGATGTTGGGACGACTGGCAGGTTATTCCCACTTTTTGGAGTCAGGCTGTTTCACAAACTCCCTGATGTCACATCCAGACGGCACCACATACCTAAAGGGATGATACCAGGAGAGCTGAGTTGGGAAACCAGAAATCTGGAGACGGGTGACAGGCTGACCATATCCTGAACAAACCGTATGGAATTAAGATTAACTTAATTCAATAAAGTTTCATCTTATTGAATGAGGGTTAATACCTTGGGGTCCATTGTATTAAATGCAATTGTGAATGTGTAGTGGCATTGCATGTACCTTCTCTAGAGGGAGGGGGATGCTAGTGTACTTCCTCGGTTATCAGCCTTTGAAGCCAGCCCCCAGATAGGTGCATATACCAGTTCATACTGGAGTCTCCAGGGACCGACAAAGAAAGCGTTTTTGGATAAATAGCTTGTTTGGGTTTTTTTTTAAACAACCTCAGGGCTTTCTTCCTCATCCGGCAAATGGACAGGACCCCTTGTCCATGGAGGGCCCCAATCCTTTGGAAAGGGTTGGAAGGATCAGGTGCTTGTTCTGAGCTAGAGCTGTGAGGAACTAAGAACCAGAAGGAATCCCCCTTGGGTGGGAGATGAAGGACTATGCCTGCCAGAATCCAGAGATGTGGTGGGGTTAAATCTGGGAAGCTTATTAGCATGCATGTTCTCTCTGTAATGCTTTTTAACTTTAAAATAAAGTTGACCTGCATAGAAACAACTGTGCAGTACGTATAACAGTAGCAATTATACCTGTTAAAAACCCTCTGAAGAGAAAGCAAGCAGGTGTCCCTGGGCAACCTGTCTGTGCTGGGAAATATATAGTGAAAGGTGGGTACAGTCCTGCCTGGAGATACTCCAGTCAGCAGGGACAAAGCCCCGGGTCTCCACCCAATTTACAACAGCTGAGGTGCTCTAACCTTTATACCTACACCTACATGGTGAGAGGGCATCCAGGGAACAGACACTGCCCCAGAGGACACTGCTATTCAAAAGATCCTGTCTTACACACATGGGGCTCATGCACTCCACAAGTGCAATCTGTGTAGACAATCACTCAAACATTTAATATCAGTTACACTGCAGCATCTCCAGTCATGGACTATTCATGAAACCATTAAAGTGAGCTTACATTCACATTCCTGCTTTTGGGAGCTTTATATTCTGTAGTGAAGTTAGCAACCCACCAAACCATGCCTCAATCCCAATTAAGATGGGCAACCCATCAAGAATAAGCCCAAGATGGTGGAGCTGCTTGGACACCAAGTATACAAAGGCATTGTTAGCTAAATGCAGTGTGTGTGTGAGCACTGCACTGCAGTCACAACATGAGGATTGCATAGTGATCTTTATTTCTCACACTGCCCCCACCCCACCAAAAAAGGCATGAGCCTTCACTGCCAAGGAGCCCTCCCAGAGAATTCTGAAAAAGAGGGTTGCCAAACCATCCTGCTTGTATGTCTTCCCCTTCACCACTCAAATAGTAGGGTACTGGCATAAAAGCAGAACCATAGTTCTCTTTAGGTAGAGAGAAACTCTTAAACTGTTTGACATGAGAATTAACTGCAGTCTTGGAACACTGAGGGGAGACAAGACAACCACAGGATGTACAAGAGGCAAAATGGTTTCCAGAAATCATTTATGAAGTGACATTCCTTCTTTAGAGATTGGGTTTCCAACAGTAGCTAGTTTTCAAGCTATGTATTTATAGGAAATAAATATGGACTTTTCTAAGGTTCATGGGTTTGCTTAGCAATCAAAATATAGTTGTTCCTGGGAGGAGATAATAAATTAAGAGGAGGATGAAAACAGATGCTACTAACCTTTGCATTCAGGGGCAGGACCACTCCACTCTCCATTGACATTATCTTTCGTTGTACAATGAATGGAGGCCTCTCCAATAAGAGAGAAGCCCGGGTCACATTTGTAAGTTACTTTTAAGCCAAAGAAAAACTCTTCTCCAATCAGAGCATTATGGGATCCATGGGTGATATCAGGAGGTGGACGACAAGATATTGCTGAAGCAAAGAATGTCAACATGAAAATTAAAGTTCACAGTGAAGGTGAACTGAAGAGAGTTTCACTAAGAAAATTGTCTCAGATCCCCCCAGAAAGCAATTTAGCCATTTGGAAGGGTACTTAACATTGCACTAACACATTTGAAGCAGATTTCCCCTTCAGATTCTGAAGGTTTTTCTGCTTTTAGGCTTGACCCAACCCAGTACGTCCATTGCTCAAGGAGGATGCTCCATAAAACACCAGCTCTAGAAGATGAACTTATCAGAGCATGCCCCTCCCCAACATTTGCCTCTGGGAGCCAGAACCTCTTCCCCAGCATCTCTAGAGGTAGTGTTGTTCCACCAGCAGAAAACTAAGTTAGGACATTTCTAGTATCAGCAGCTGATTCTAGAAACTGGACATGATTGACAGACCAAGCCCAGAAATCATCCAAGAGATCGAAGTAGAGGCAAATTAATTGTGATTCACTTCAAAAGAGCCTCAGATTTTAAGTGGGTAGTCAGGTTTGGGAAGGGTCAAGACTTTTTGAAGTCATAATCATGCCTTTTACTTAGCAAACAGCAGGATTACACAGATACAATAGTGAAGAGTTGCCATGAGGCCTGTTGGATTATGAATATTAAACAGTGCCAGGTGAACAATCTAGAAGGGACTTTGTTTTAAGCATTGGTTCTATAGGAGTCATCCAAACACCACGGTTAATCACAGGCTGATTTCATTCTCTCCTCAACCAAACATACATCCTCAAGTTTTACTCTTATTTGGATTAAAAGATGCAAGAACAGAGACTCCTCTGTAGCACCAGCTATGCAGCATCATCTCCAGACTTGAACTGTTCTTAAAACCATTAAATTAGTTTACCTTCGCAAAGTGGAACCTCCTTATCCCAATCAACTCCATTTCTCACAAGTACACATTGGGCAGAAGTCGGTCCAATTAATTTGTAACTAAAGAAAAAAGGTTCAAATTTGTTACTGAAGTAAGGAAAGAACTAGGTTACAGTTTAGAAAGATGGAACATGGTTTCTTTATGCCAGTAGGTGGAGACAAATGATTGACCAAAGTCATCTCTGCTATAAAACATGATATGTCTAACACTATAAGACCAAGGAACTCTAAGTAACTAAAGGCAATCTAGAGCTAAACCAGTGAATATAAACTTGCACAACTGTTAAGAGAATGCCCTCACTTCTCATCTACACTAGTCAGATGCTTGGGAATGTTTGTTAATTCTTTGCAAAGGGGAACAAGTGATCCTTCTTCTAAACTGGAGATGCAAGTATTAAGGAGTGCAAATCTCTAACAGGTGGAAGAGGGCTCTAATCATCCCTGCTATAAAACTTAATAAATGCCCAGGAAACCATGTTATTTTAGACATGACTGGTCTGCTCACAGTGCTCTCACGTGGGAAAAAGGGCTTGCTGGGTAGGAGGCTGTGCCTCATCTGATGTTTCTAAGCTTTAAGAGAGCATTTGAAAATGCGAGCTGTTGCCATTCTACACCTTAGAATTACTGTCCTTTTATCTGCAGCAGTACTAGACATCGCTTCTCTGAATGCCTGGTTGTGTTACCCCAGTTGTCAATGACTCAGCTTAAGCAGCTCCCCTTACATTTCCTCCCCAGCAATGTTTTGTAAAATAAAAATCAGACCTAAAGACAACCCATCATGACAGAAGCGATGGGGAGAAGTCAGGTGCACACCTGACCCCATCTCCCTTCCATATTCAAAACCTGAGCATCTTAACTGTCCAAGACCTAACCTAACCCTAAACCCAGGGAACTGCACAAATCCAAGGCCTTGAGTCCATGTAGGCTACTGCAAAGAAACCCTGTCTACACAAATCCTTCAACTGTGGATCAACCTACTTCACCCAGAAATCAGGCTGACAACCAATCCACAGAAAAAGGCATTCAACTTGCATGGGGTTTGGCAAGCCAGCCACCATCAGGGAGTTACCTCCCCCACCATCTCTCCTCACTCAGACCGGGGGGTCAGCTGCCACCCAGAGACATCTGATTCCTCTTCCCAGAGGACTTAACTTTAGAGGGCTTGACCTGGCAGCAGGGGTTGTGATATAGTGGAGTGGGTGGGTGGGGAAACAAAAAAACAAAACAAAACAAAACAAAAAACACCACACACACCTGCACTTGTTGGTTGTGTTTTGGTCCCCATGCAATGTGATCTATTCAATTATCTCAACACCCAGAAAGCACCTGCTCAGTGGAATGAGGCCACAACCCATTTATGATTCCCCAAGGCTTGTCACATAGCCCATATGGACAAAAGCAACAACTGAACTTGACACTGCCCTGATAACTATCGACAGCTATAACAAAGGGATAGACAAATATTTGCTGTGGTAGAGTAGGAAGAAGGCTGCTTCTAGCTGGTGCTGCCTTTTATGGGCAATATTCTGTCCCACAATCCCAGCACCGATTCAAGACACTAGGACTGACCAATAACAGCCCCTGTAACATGGCAGAGATGGCACCAATCAGTGAGTGGCACATTACCCTTCAGGTGGGGCTTTCCCTTAGGACTCATGATCCAGCAGCTGCTGAGATGACCTGTTGAAGGTTTAGGCTGGGATTTCCAAAAGCACCCGAGTGAGTTAGGTGCCCATCTCCCACTGAAGAGCAGCCATAAATGGGTGGCTAGCTTCCTTCAACACCTGTGAAAATCGCAGGTGTAATTCTTAACAAGGGCCCAGCCCATGGCCACAGATTTATAGCACACCACTCACTTATGTTCTTGAAGTTCAGCAGGCTTTCTAGTCTCATTTTGCCAGACTTCATTAGCAGTATTACACCAATCTAGGTTTTGTTATTTAGTCCAAAGCAGCAACTTGCCACTCACCCTTCATTACAGGAGAAGTTTGCTGTTTCACCAAGCCGGAAACTGGTTAAATCCACTCTGCCATTTTCTAGTTCTAGTGGTTTACATGGTCTTCCTAGAAGAAAACAAGACTAATATTAGTGTTACCTCATATTACCTTAATGGGGAAAAGAAAAAGGGATATGCTAACTTGCACCCCCAACATAGCAAATACGATGGCAGATCAAGCCAAAGGTCTAATCCAGTGGTTAACCTTTTCTGGGCTGAGGACCCATTTGTAAATGTTTACAATCTGTCGTGACCCAGTAAATAGTGTGCGCATGGAGCCCTGGGGTGGTTTTGGTCATGTCCTGCATCCCAGGAGGGTTGGGCCCTGACTGGCACTCACTCCACAGTGGTGGTTCCTGTGCCAAGGGGCTGGCTGAGTTGATCTCTCTGCTTCAGTTGTTGCAGCCTCCAGGATTGTAACATCACTACGGTTTGGGCCCTGCCCCTCGACTGGACCAAATTTGGGAGAGTGGAGTTGTGACCTGGCTCATGGGGTTGCAGTGCCACTCAGATTTGGCCTACCCACAATGGCACATTAGCCACTGACCCAACGGGGCCCTTGCCCAGGGACCCTGGCCAATTGGGGCACCCCAGAAAAATAGGTGCACGTGCGCCCCGACCCACTCCATGCACCTGCCCAGCGCTTCTGCTGGGGAGCAGAGTCAGGGTGCAGGGTCTTGCAGGAGTGCCGGGTGGACAGGGCAAGCTTCCGTGCCCCAACCCCACTCCCCGGCTATAGCACCTGGGGAGGAAGATGGGGGACTGCAGGTAGAAGGGGTGGCATGGGGCCCCCACTTGCTCTGGCCCAGGGCACCACAAACCCCTAATCTGCCTCCGCCTATCCAGGTTGTTGTCATCTTGGCAGCTGGGCCAAACCTGAGTGGAGGGTCAGGAATCCGGGAGTTTTATTATGAATTAGTATTTTACCAAGTTTGTAATACATTGTTATTCAATACTGGGTTTATTTTTAGTAAAGTGATTTTAATATGGCTACAATCTATATTCATTAGTTTTCTAAGATAATAACCAATAATAAATAAATAGTTTCTCCTCACATAGGCATTAGGGAATAGAGTGACTTCAATTTTTCAAAAAAGAGATAGTACACCAAGGTTTTTCACTTGGTTGCAGAATTTGTGATGTTCCCTAAGCCAGGAATGGGAAATCCAATGAACATGATGAATTTAACTGCAGCGAGTTGTAGTTGTAGCTGTATTTGAGTATTTGCATAGAACACTGGACAAGCTGTCACAGGGTAAGAACCAAGATCATTGGGGAAATTAAAGCAGGTTAAGGTTTAAAATGTCCTTTGTTTTATACCTCCATTTAAAGCTGACTAGCATAGGTAAAATACCAAAATCCAGCAACATCACTGAATGTCTCCCAATAGTCATAGGAACATCATATGGACAGTGGGGTCTCTGGGAGATAAGCAGTGCCGGGTTTACAATGGCGCCAGTGGCATCATGAAGCCAGCCCCATGCTCAGAAGGGACCCTGGCCTGCTCTGCTTGCACTGTGCCCTGAGACCCCACCAGCCCGCTGGCTCCCTGCTGCCCATCACTTGCTCCTCAGGCCAAGGGATCCTCTCTGCCCCCTGGCTCCACCCCATTCTCTTTCCCCCTGGCCAGACTCCAGTGCACCTCTGGCTCTGGGCAGTCTCTACTTCCCACCATCTGTGGGGCCCCACCTGTCTCCCTGGAGCTGAACCCCCTGGAACTGGTACAGAAGTCTGGGTAGTCTCGGCCAGTTGCGGGGGTGGAGGGGACAGTTGGGGGAGCTTGGCTGGGCCCCTCCAGGCAAGTGTGTTTTGAGGGAGCCTGGCTGGGGCAGGCCCTGGCCTGGCTGATCGCGCCACTCCTGAGGGGATGGAGCGATTCCCCACCCTGGGACCAGCCTGGCTGTGGGGCCAGCTCAGTCCGGCAGACAGTCAGCTCCCAGAGGGCCAGTGAGTGTGGCTAGGAGGCAGGGCATGGAGGGGCTCTGGTGGGCCTGATGGGGGTGCTCAGCTGGGAGGGGACAGGGAAGATCTGTGTGGACAGAGGGCACTGGGTAGGGGTGGTGGTG